TTTGCAGGCAACCTAAAAGGTTTGATTGTGAGGCTATTGTATTTACACATACTGGTTCTATGAAAACTGTGTGCTTAATACTGTAAGATTTGTTTCAGTCCACTCAGATATAATACATACATAAAATAAAGTTAATTGTGTGCCTGCAAATAAAAAGTAGATTTTTGACTAAAGAGTTGGGAATGCTGGTCAAAAACCCAAAAATAATTTAAAAAAAAAGAGAGAGAAAGCAGAAAATGAGGAAATGTGTACTATATTTGAGGCTAGTCTGTTTTCCAAACTGTCATTTAGGATTTTTTCCAGACTTGCTGCATTAGTTAGGCTAGCTAAACAGAGCCCTGCCTCAATGGTTCTGTTTTTCAGAGCAACCTAGTTCATCTAAACACACTGCAGGGTTATCATCCTGTCTTCATGTTCAGTGAATCTTTAGAGGCTGTTTTGGACTTCCTGAAGGGGAACATCTTATGATGGTTCCCTATGTTGTTGTCTCAGACCAGTCTTTCGTCACAGCATGGGCTGGATCTTGTATTGGCTGTCGTTTAATCATTGTCTCAAACTCTGGTTGCTGTTACTACCAAAAGGAAGAGCATGGCACATTCACTCTTATTTTTCTCAAGGAAATTTCAGCTCATCCCTACATTTCCAACAGAAAAATGGCTGTTACCACCATCTATTAAAAATAGTTGTCACTCAAATCTCATAACAGTTTTCTATCTTAAAGCTGCATCTGTAAGTACCAGTGCAGTGAGGCAAAGAGGATTTCAGGGACATGCACAGGTTCCCAAAGTGGCATGGCTATGAACAGAGGCAGCTTTTGTGCCTGTTACAGGGCCACCCTTCACCCTTTCTGTCAATGCTGATATTCATACCCAATTAAAAACAAAAGTGTATTAACTTCATATGGTGGTTACCCTCTTAACAGATGGCCCAGCTGAGAATATGAAGACCTGTTCAAGAAGTGTTAAATATGTAGGTGTCATGAGCCTTATTCTTCACAATTGTACTCTGACCCTCTCACAGTTTCTGTTATTTGCTTTCTTACCTTAGTGTAAACATCCATTGCAGATCTAATTCCTAACTCGTAGAGGTACTGCAACCCATGGGGAGAAATGCTTCATTTATAGTCACATTTTATAGTTCCCTTTGTGGTTTATTCTGGCATTTTGACTTGTCATAGTTGAATTTCAATTGCATTCATAGGAGTGCTCTTGTAAAATGCCACACTTTGGATTTTAAATGTGCTTTGGTGTGATGAATGCATCATTAGAGTGGGTTGTGGAGTAGTGTTTAGATTTTTGAATTGTGTCTTGGGGTTTTGTTCTCAAGCCTCTCACCAGATTATTATATGAATCATGGATAGGCCGTTTTCAGGATTTCTGCTCCTGCATTCCATATGTAAAATGAATATGTTCTACCTCTACAGGAGGTCTGTGTTGACACCCATCTGATTATTTTTTGAACAGCTAGGCAGCAAGCATGCTCTAACATGTCATGGAATGGTTGTTGCACTTATATACTAATTACCTGACTGCTACCTTGTATTTCCATAATCTTTTTATTGAGAACAAATACTTTCTTGGGTTGTAAATTGCCTAGAAAGAAAATGTTGTTTTAAAATCTCTTTATGTGGTGCCTGTCATAGTGAGCTTTCATTCCTTGGGTGAGGCAAGCAGGAAAAAGGCTATTACTAAAATACAAACATAAAATAAAGTATGTGCTTTGAGGTTGTCTGAATAAAATATGCTGAGGTTATTAATTTTGTTTTCTTTCTGAAAAAAAACAGTATCAAACATTATTATTTTTATGGGCACTTATCTGCTGTACTTTAAAAGCAAGCAGTAATTACTAGTGTGTAACAATCCATCAGTTAATGAGGGAAACTAAAGGACATGAGCAAAAGACATCTCGCCATTAGAGACATCTGAAGTTCCTTAATTCCCACGTGAATTTAGGAAGGGTGTGTTATACTTTGGAGAGGTTAACCTTTCAAGGAGTTTGCTTGATAATGAATAATGGCTTAATAATAAGTGTTACTAATTCAAAATTAATATCTGAAGTAGGTTTGACATCTAATAAAAAGAGGCTGTTCTGTATGTATTAAACCTGGAACAGCATAGTTGATGTATCTCGTGTTTCAGGCAGCTAATGACTTTTTCCATCATGTCTGGAAATATATTTGTGAAGTTGTTTTATGTCATTTGGAAGTTTGTGGAAAGAATTCTAGCTGATGTGAAGGAAAAATCTGGAAAGCAACAATGCTGAAAAGGCTATAGGTATGATTTTACAGAATGACAGATTAAAGGATTCTAAGGGTCATACGTAGGAGTGTCCCATGGTTTTAACTAGTGAATTCTCAAAGGAACATGTCAGGGGAGTTAGTTTCCCATATTTTCAATGGAAAGGGAGGTGGTGCATCTAACTAGTCCCTAAAGGAAAAATAATTGTTTGAGTGAATATTCATTACAATATTTGAAAAAATTTGTTTTTCAGATAATTGCCTTTGATGAACTTCGGACAGACTTCAAAAGCCCAATAGACCAGTGCAACCCAGTCCACGCAGTGAGTACAACCTTAGCAAGCTGTTGCTTGCTAACCAGCAGCTCCTAAAGAAAGGGAGATGCACTAAGCTGTCAGTGAAAGTATGAGTGTGGAAACGAATGTAGAGTCTGTTGTGAAGTCCACTCTAGAAAACTGAATTATTGGTCCAATCTTAGAAAGCCAGAGGGTGATGATTAGCTAGATGCTACTAGATTTCTTTTTTTGCTGAAGGAGACAGCAAAATAATTTGGAAGTTGAAGGATATATATAATGTGATCCTAATGCTTGCTTTTTATCTTTTAATTCAGTGGCATAAGTTTTCCTTTTTGAATTAATTTGCTTTCTCTGCATTCAAGCATTGGATAACCACCACCATACTATCTGTATCAATGAGTCAAAAGCTTGCACAGATTTGATAAGAAATCTGCATTCCCAGAACTCTGTCTCATGGCAGGGCTCTAAATTCTCCCGTGCTTTAAGAGTAAATAATGCATTCTGCTGCATCTGCTATGGAAGAGGTTAAATATCACCCTGGGACTGTAACTCAGTTTTACCTAATGAACCAAAATGCAACCCAGATATAAGCATACAAAAATTCCTGTTAATTAAAGGTGTGATCCATGACGATTTAGCTGATTGAGTTAAACAAGCATCAGATTTGTGCCACCAGCACTGAGAGCAGAACTTGGCTCCTTGTCATCTCACTGGGAATTATGATGATTATGACAGGTGCTGAATTTAATCTGTACAGAATATCGAGTTATTGAATTACCTACAAATTACAACCAGATTCAGTAGCTACTACTTTGCTATTTAACCTTGTTTTATAACTCAGCAGAGGACTTCTGGTGCCGCTTAGACCACTGATGATTTTAAGCGTAATCTTTACATGAATTTTTGAGTCAGAAGACCTGTTTGCTGTTCACTAGCACATAAGCAAAGAATGAGAACAAAGAAAGAAATTATATGAAGAAAACCTAGAGAGGACTTCAATAGAAGTAACCTAGTTTTGAATTTACTGGAAGTAATCTGATTTTGAATTCACTTTATCTGTTTTTACTTCCCATCTTGAGAACTGTACACAATAAATATGTATTTATATGTACCAAATTCCATTAATTCAGTCTCTTCCTAAAACTAGTAAGATGCGCCATGGAAATAATTTCCTCTTATTTTAAAATGGTAATGGAATTGGTTTCCAGGACAAAATAAGTTAATAAGCCCCTGTTTCAGTCATATTAGAGACATAATAAAAAACTTAATTGTAGAGTTTCCAGGAAAATACAGCAAAGTATTCTGTGATTGGTTGACATATCTGACTCTCTTCTATGAAGCCTTTTGTGATAAATCAAACAATAACCTCAGATTGATTTCTTCTGCACAGTATACATGTTGATGCCTTTAATACTGTCATAAAATCAACATTTTTTAGCAGGTGTTTCCTGTCTTACTTATCTGGTCAAGTGCATTTTCCTTTTTCCCCTATGCATAATTGCGTATGCCCTTATTCCATTAATTTGGTGGGGTAGTTTTCTTATACTGCACTATTAGAATGTCTGATGTTTACTCATGTATCTTCCACAATATTTTCATGACAGAGGGTAAAGCATTTTTGGCAAGAGAAGGCTGAATTAAGGACAGATCAGAGGTATAAAAAATGGTGGTAAAAGCTGAGAATTTAATTTGAATTGCCTGGTTCACACTCTGTTACCTAGAGTTCAAAGATGGACTCTCCAAGGTCAGCTTTAGTTAGGCATCTGTCTTCCAAAGGGAATTGAGAAGATTGTCTTTCTCTCTCCACTTACCTCCTATAAAATGCAGGAAAACTTTCTGCAGCTTCACAGGTACATCCACACACATCCATTCTCAAGTTTGCAACCATGAGTCTAAAATTTCTGAATCTCTTTAGATCACAGACACCAGAGAGAGGCAGAACACATCTGGTGCCTAGCAAGGTGCCACTGTCTCATTGTCTTTCCAAAATGATACTTTTTTTCTTTTATAATGGCATAAACTTGGGCGCAGGGAAGGAAAAGAGACATTTCTTTAGAGACAAGAAAGGAAAAGAGACATCCTTTTGGAGAACAGAAGTAAAACTCAGACCTGAAGCAAATTTAAAACATTTGAAAAGCAAAAAGCATAGGGGGAGCTGGCTTCTCACATTGATATATTACATTACCTGTTTAAAAAAGATAATTGTTCACAATATTTTTTTGCCCATGTCTTAATGAAAATATTACCAGGTCGTCTTCTAGGACAACACAACCACTCTGCCTTCTGTAGTGTAACTAACAGTTGAATCTTTCACAGTAACTCCAGTGATGGGGTTATGCAGAGTGAAATCTGATTTACTAGCGAATTACTCATTATGAGCCATTTAAAAGAAGACCTCTTTTTGACTTGTCTTCTTTCTGTGAATCAAACTTAGAGCATCTTTTGAGACCCAGTGCTTAACTACAGCGACTTTTAGTATTTATGAATGTGTCTGTTGTTTAAAGTGTCATTTCTAGGATATTTCAGATATTTTTCACTAACGGGTTAAATTCTAATATGACATGTTGTTCAGGCATCCTCTTAGTGATAGAGGAAGGGCTGCCAGACCAACTTCCTAGTTGTTTTTCCCTTTCAGAATTCTCTTGAAGCCAGAGGCTGGGTACTTGAAAATGCAAGATCAAGTCTCTGTGGTATAGAATGGTACCACGGACTAGAGCTACAAATGCTTAATTAAAAAGAAGCTGCATCCTCTTGGCTCAGGGCTAACACAGACTTGAATCCCCCATTTATATTGTTACACCAAATAACAGATGAAAAAATAACTTATTGAGACTTTGAAATGGATAAATCATTTGTCTTGCAAGCAGTAGGTAAGAAGTGAATACTATTGTTTCAGATTAATAATGTTTTGTTTCCCTGCAGCCATTAATTGTGATCTTGACCCATTGTAATTGTAGTGTATTGTCTTTATAACACCAGCTAATCTCCTGCGTTTTCCCTACTTTTTTTTGGCAGAGAGAGCGGCTGAGAAATATTGAGCGTATTTGCTTCCTCCTGAGAAAGGTGAGCATAAATTAGCCTAGGATTTGTGAAGTTGATGAGGATTAAAGCCATCCAGTCGTGAGGTACCTTCATTTTTCTCTTTGAATGATCCTAACAGTCAATTGATGAAAGGCTGTTGTCTACTGCAGAAATGGATGTCATGATGACCTTGTGAGGACAGAGTAAGACAGCCGATAAAAGGTTAACTTAATAGAGGATTTCTGGATAAGAACTGAAACTTCAGAACGTCATCCCATTCACTTTAAGACACACATTTAATGTTTAAGTTTTTTAATTGGCTGAATAAAGAAGTTGATTCAGTATTTATTTTAATTTGACATGAGAGATGCTGTGTGCCTCAGTTTCTGAGGGATTTGAAGGAGAGTCTAAATGTAGGATTGATACATCCATGGATTACTCATCTGTAGCTTGAAAGATGGTTTTTATAAACACTCATTATTCTCCAGACTCTGTCCTATTGAAGTACAAATAATCATAGTTCCAAAGTGTTGTATTCTTTAAATTAAAGCTTCTAAAAATTGCCTTCTGCAGAGCAGTAATGAAACCACCTAAATTATTTGACACTTTTACTTTACGAAGTAATCACTGAAGTGTGGCCTGCTGACTGCATCCTGATCAAGCTAAGCCCTAAATTCAGATATGGTTTTAAGAAATTCATGGCCTCATCCTTAGAGGTTTTGAGAAAGCCAGTGCTAGGAGTTATTGGTTTGGGGTGATCCAAAGGCATAACTGTGACCCCATGCAGAATCTGTGAAGTGTCATTCTTGGATCAGTCAGAACCGGAGCCATATCTGCTTGGCACCATTATGAACATGTGACTGTTAGGAGCCACATTTAAGTACTTAGCCTGTTTATGACACTAGGGATATGAAAATAAGCGAAAATACTTATCACCAACAGCTTTCCATTTTATCAAATAGGCAGCCAGCTAGTTTCAAGCTGTGTCCCAGTTTCTCTAATGTAAAGCAACTGGTGAGTGGTAATATGTTAATATGTCAGCCTCATGGGGATGCCTTGCCTGCATCAGTATGTAATTTTTATTGAGCCTCAGCCTCACTGTGAGCAGAAAAATGGAGCATTTTGGCTAATTACAAGCTCTGTATTCATTAAGGATTGGCTTGCTTCTGGCTCACTTAAACACTTTGTTAATTCAGCCTCTTTTTCAAAGTTCTTTGGGGACTCATTTCTTTTAATTGTGAGTTTATATGCAAGAAGGGGAAAGTGCAATAACTACAGAGGCTTGTAGTCTCAAAATCTGCCAATCACTAAAAATAGCTTTCATTTATGCAATATAAAGGATTCACTGTTGGCGAAAATTCTGGAAAACCGGTAAAGACTTGAGTGCCAGCTTTATAGGTACAGAAAAATGTCAGGATGCTTTCAGCAAGCAGTAAGTATGTCCCTCGTTATAATATTGTGTGGCTTTAGGTCTGCTTCTCTTTTTATGAAGCAACAACATATCTGTTTTCCTATGACTTGAAGTCAGATAATTCCTTTAAAGGGCTTTGATAACAGTGATATCTTGCTCTTTATGACATTGGAACTTAATGCTTAAGATTTGCTGTAAGTCTCTTTTTTAAAGAGGATATAGGTGGACAATAAAGATATGTTGAGTATCATTATATGCTGGTTCTTCCAAAGAAGGGGTTCTTGGGAATTACTAAATGGACAATGGACACACAACATGTCATTTAAATCTGATCGCAGTGGGCAATGAGTGTCTTAAGGATGCATTTTGGGTTTTATCTCCAAAATACTTGTGGAGAGGATTATTAACAAACTGTGACCAAGTATGTGATATCTCACCAGATCTTACATAACTTGTTTACCTTTTTCAAAATAGAATGGAGGATATAATTTTTCTGCAGCCAAGCATTTTCTGACATTTGGTTTGGGGAACATGTTTCTATATCATTAAAGCAAGCAGGGATCATGTGAAGTAGATATATCTGGTGCTGGCATGTATACATGCATGTACACATGGGTCTGTTTTTCTGGTGCTATAGAATTAGATCAGCCTAAGTCTTCTGTTTACTGGAGAGTGATTAAATATATGTAAATAAGCCATGAACATTGCATAGCCATGGTCAAATCTCTTCTATCTTGAAGTAAATGAGAGGAAGGACTTGTTTTCTGCAGCTGGCACAAAATAAGGTTCTCTCAGGATACATGTATCTCTTTTTATTCAGTGGTGTGTTTTGAGGGCTTTATAGTATAGAGTTTTGTTCATGTGTGTATCCTGTAAACTGTTGAGTGTTCCATTGTGTGGACATCCGTGTCATACCAGTGATATGTGATTCAGATAGGACATAGACTAGTATTGACAAATGTGGTGGAGTCTGTGCTGTCCTTTTTTAACAAACTACCTTTGTTCCTCCAAGGATATGATTAGGTGACACGCTACAGTTTTGTACAGAGGGACACAAACTAGTTGTGAATTAGCTGTCTTGAGCCAGTGGAAGCAGTACAGGCTTCTTGGGCTCTTCGGCCCTGTAAAGGAGTGGGACAAGTGACTTGTGCTATATAGATCTACCCTGATTTTTGTGATTAAATATTTTGGTGGGTTTATTAAAATATATTCAGTTCATGATGACAGCAATATTATATAACTGTAATTGCAGTTGTAGTTCAAGAAATATACCTACCCAATGGATTCCTGTTGGATATAATCAAATTAGTACTAAGGACAATTAGGAATTTCTTAGATTAAAACATGGTCTATTTCATTAATCAACCATTGTAATATTATTACTTTACCTCTGAGGAAATTTAAGTTGTGATAAGGTTATGCACTGTAAATTTTTATTAATTTGATAAATCCTTACTAGGGAGGAAAGTTGACCGAACTTGCTTCCTGCTTAGCAAATGTATTTCAGACTTCAGTTTGCTCATGCCAAACACTGTTGAACAGTGTAAGTGACCTTTCTCAAATTATCAGCAAATATTTGGTTTTAAACCCCATTAAGCTAAAGTAAGAGTGATTTTTGAACAGCAGAACTGGAACTAGAACTCACCTGGGAGGGAACTGAGGTACATAAAAGACAGACTTTTACTCATTTTCCTACTGTAGTGGAGCATTTTAGCTACATTAGGCATAAAACTAGTAAAACTGCAAGTGTAAGAAAATATTGTACTAGGGCTCAATTATTTTTCTTGATTTTTTTTTTTTTTGTGTGTGTATGGATTTTTTTGGGTGGGTGGGTTGGTTGGTTGTGGCTTTTTTGGCAAATGTTGAAGCGATAATTGGAAGAGAGCAAATTCAGCAAGAAATCTAACCACAGGCAAGGTGACATAAATCTCAAAGATGTTCCAGATGAACTTGAACTGTCTTGAAGAATACAAACACACACATGGACAAAAAACATTCCAGGGATAACTTTTGGATAACCAAACTTAGCCAGCTAAGCACTCCAGTACTAGCAGTAGCAACAGTGGATTGTAAATCAGGAGTTGGGATGTTATAATATTTTAGTTAGGAGGTTGGGGGTTGCCCATGCTTGGTCTGTTCTGGTACTTCTGTCATTGTGGTTTCCAGTGAAGGTGGATCTGTGGTGAAAATTTTATTCTTTATTCCATAGTTCTAGTGTTTACTGGATTCAGTTCTGGGTTTTACTACTCTGCAAAACAAATCTGTCTTTTAAATAAATATTCCATATTATATACCCTAATACACATCACAGTTGTGTTTTACTGTATCTACAGGCTTTAGTAAATAGCCAAAACGAATGTTACCTGAAAGAGCAATTATATAAGGAATTCCGTTCAGACTAACATACTCTAAAATGTAAAACCTTGTGAGCATAATATGTAATTCCAGACAACTGAGTGTCTGTGTACAATTTTGTTTTGGTATGTTTTCATATTTAATTATTCTCTTTAAAAAAAGTCAAAATAGCTTATATGTATGAAAGTAACAGTCATACAGCAGCATGAGTAATCAGAAGCTTGAAGACTTGTGGCTTAATGCCACAGGTTCAACTGTAGATGGAGTATGCCAAGGCAGAAGGTAAAGCTTGATCCTGTGTCCATTTCATGCCTGTTTGTCAGTGTTTAATGCACATACTGAAAGCTTGAAAAAAACAAAACAAAACAAAACAAAATATTATATGCTCAGTAAAATGTTAAGAATCGTCTAACAGGGGACAAATTTGCTTTTTAGCTCTTCCTTAATAGCCGATGAAAACAGTTATGGAGGATTTTACAAGAGAGTAAATATTATGGAAAGTCAACATTTTTAAAAAGTAGCACAGTGATTTCTTATTTATCCTCAGTTGACTTGCTCTTTCCTGGATATTTTGGATGAAAGAGACTGACCAGTGTGCACTAAAGTAACTGCTGTAGGAAATAGTCTTGGTACTTGGACCTTGTTAGGTTCAAGACCTTCACCTACCAGTAGCTCCCACCATTCTCTGCATGCAACAGCTATGGTGGACGTAGCCATTTGGAGACCATACGTCACAGTAGCTGATTTCTAGTGACTGATCATATTCTTCTCTTCTTGATAAGTTTGCTGGTTATTATGATGATCACTCCTTCCTTTGTTCTGCCTCATAGTCACTGACAAACCTGAAAGAATGTGATGGATTTAAAATGTGTCTCTGGTTATGCCAGTTGATTGCTTCATCATGGATTTATGGATTTATAGGTCTGTGACATTCTTTTAGTCAGTCTGCAGGCTGATAGTCATAAGCAGAGTACTTCTGTAAGCCTATAGCATGGTTCATTAAAATGCTTAATATAAGGTCATATCAGCAAATTTAGCAAAATGTGATGTATAATTACAAGGAATTTTTAAAGTTGTGTGTATCCATCCGTATGTAAGAAGGAATCATGCTTTCTTCCCAGGGTTGGAAAACCTCATCGGCAGAAAGTACAGCATTAAGACAATTAGTTTGTTGCAGAACTGGGAATAGCAGCAACAGTTTTGCCTGTTAAACCTTTTACAATCTCTGTAAAGATGTTTTAATTCCTCATTTAGTTACACTTGACAGAAAATGTTG